CAGGACAATCCTGGAGGGTTGGCAACCCTAGCTCAGCAAGGTGCGGCATTCCTGCCTTTGAAAAGATCAAAACAAAATCAAAGAAACGACTTCTGTTCTGACTGATAGGGCCCAATTCACAGTCCAGATAAAGTCCTGTGGGCCACAACAGTTGTAGCTCATAGCTGTGTTCTACAGTAGTGTAGAAAAGGGCCATTTTTTGTCTAAGGTACATGTTAGAAAAATAAAACTCTGTGTAACAGACAACTGCTTGCTGAGCTGTGTATGGTCCCGCTATGCTGCAAAGCCTCTATTGCAAGATGGTATCCTCTGCCTGAGAAAACACCGTTCTGTCTTTGTTCATGGGCACACTACAATTTAGTCAGGAGAAACATGCTTGGTTAAAAGTTCTATTGTAGCTAAGACTTAACCAGGTCCCCACAGGGGGACTGTCTCCATTACAAAAGCGTGTGGTATTTGAACACCATTGGGAGCACCTGAGTTCGCTGACATGGTCAACAACATATCAGCTAGTCATGGGTAAAACCTGGGCTGACACAGTGTTGAACATGATTTGCCCTGGCCTACACTGACTGCAAAGTCATGATCAGCATCATGTCAGCTAATTTGAATGCTCCCAGTCACATTCAGATAGGGGAGGAGGACTTCCTCACCTAGACAAGCTCACCGAGCTAAAGCCTCAGACACTCAAGGTGTGTGGATACTGAAGCAGAGTTAGATCCTGTTTACACAGCTCCTAACTCATGGCTCAGGTATATTTGTAATGTACACAGGCCCCTGACTCGGACATACTTGTAGCATAGACAAGCCTTTCTATAATGGTGTGAATCAGAGCTGCAGAGCTAATTAATTGTGTGCATGAATAGGAGAGGGTCCAGTCCAGATGTGAATTTTGCAGCTTGAGCCAATCTGTAGTAATGGACCTGGGGCCCAAACAATGGTTGTCCCAAAAACATCATGCTCGAGAAATAAAAATGTATGGAAGATGCGTTTTGAAAGGGAGGCCAGATAGACTGAAATGGATTTCCAAGGCTGGAGGGAGGGATTTCCACTAGAGTTGGGTGATTTTGTCATGCAAATAGTTTTTTCACAGAAAAATGCAGATTTAGGGCAACTGAAACTATTTGTGGATTCAGGTAGATGTCAGTAAATAGCTTTTGTTTAAAAAAAAAAAAAAACCAGCCAAAGAACTTTTTTTGGGGGGGGGGGGGTGTCCTAAACAGCTCATTTCAGCATTTCCAACATGACATGTTTTGACTTTTCATTTCAGAAATACCTTTTGTTTCGGTGTTTCCCTACATTTTATTTAAAAACCATTAACAACATTTTTTAAAAACCCTGAAAATGAAAAACAAAACAAAACCCTTTCATTTCAGGTCAACCAAAACATTTCAGCCAATTAAAAAAAACATTATTTCAGTTTGATCTGAAACAAACTTTTTTTTCCAAATTTTTAGATTCAGTCACCAAACCAAAAAATCAGTTATTCACTCAGTGCTAATTTCCACATGCCAGGGCCTACCATAGCCAAGATGGAATTCCTTACTGGGGAACCTCAAACAGTGGGTGATGGCGAGTGGTCTGCACTTGAATGTAACAGTTGCACAGCGGCTTCTGTGTAGACATTATCTACCCAGAGATGAGGAGTTCTCCCATCGCTGTAGTTAATCCACCGCCCTGAGAGGCGACCCCCCACCTCCTGGCTTTTAGGTAGCATGTGTGGTTTCTTTTCAAGCCAATGGGTATAACTGAAGGTGGCATGTCAATGACCCATCACCCCCTGGCTCTGCCACTGCTCAAAACCTGGCTCCGTTTCTGCTCCTGGCAGAGGCAGGCACTACCCTCACTGAGGACAATGGCAGTGGGAGCTGTTTGCCCCCAGGCTGAATTTAGCCCTCTGTCTCTTTTCTAAAATCTCTTTCGAAAACACCTCTTTCCCCTTTGTCTCTGCCACACTGGGAGGCCTGCTCATGAAAAGCAATGTGCAGATCTAGGTATTAATATTATTATAGTATTAAAATTAACATTCTGAGTGGTGCATTTTGCAAAGCCAAATGTGCATGTGAATGTAACAATATGGACCCATATGTCTAATTTGTATTGACAGAATAGATCAGTTTTGCCAATTAAAATAACAATGACAATAAATAATATTTTCTTTGTTTATTAATTAAACTCTTAGGTCCCAATCCCAAAGGCACAAGTTTCAATTTGACACCAGAATTTCATGGCACTGCCCATATACATAAAGTTAAGCCTGTGTATACTTCTTTGCAGGGCCTTATTTTTGATGCCGGGGATACACTTATAATAATAATACCCAGCTCTACCATAGGGTATTTAATCAGTAAATCTCAAAGCAGGTCAGCATCATTGGCCCAGATCCATTGATTTCAATACCTTTGTGGATCTGGGCTATTATCCCCATTTGACAGCAGGGGAAACTGAGGCACAGAGTGGGGCTGCGACTTATGCAACGTTGGCATTATTAATTGCCATTACTATTTTATTATACTTTAAAATGATAACAGAGCACAATGGCAGTATTTATTATTTAAGGCAATGGCAAATATGTGAAAATAAATGTAGGAAGGGTGATATGACTCTGTTGCACTACCCAGTGTTTGTGCTGGAGTTGTGGGAGTCAATTGGAGTTTTGCCACTGTCATTAAAGAAAGGAAGATCAACCCCCGTTAATAGTTTTATTTATTTCAATTAGGAATGTGAAGAATGCCTGATGAGGAATTGACCCTACTGACCCGGCACGGGGGAGGGGAACGAGGCAGCCAAGGTTTGTGCTGTGTCTTTATTTCATGCATCCCTTGAGCCTGATTAGGTTTCCCCTGAGTTCCTAGTTCACTGCCTGACCGCCCAGGGTTTTCCTTTAACAATCTAATTTGGGAACAAAATCCCAATGAATTAAGAGTGGACTGTTGCTGCGGCCAGCGCACCACAGCGGGAGCTTATTTAAGGCTTGTGAACTCTCTCCCAGCCACGGCGACATACCTAATGCACTTCGCACCTAGGTCTGGGAGGCAGCTTCTGCCAGTTGGGGTGGGGGATTCGAACACACCTCCCAGGTGCCTTGGTTTGCAAGTGAATGGGCTGCGGATCTAGGCTGGCTCAACTCCACAATAAGTTTGCGTCGGTAGTTTCGCTGGGGAGGGGTGTGTGTTTATGTCTGGTGCCAGAAGGGATTCCCTCCCTCCTACCTTTGAATTCTTTTAGGAGGGGGTGTCTGGTGCCTGCTGTGTCTCATTCCCCCTTCCTTTGACTGATTTCATAGGAGGTGTCTAGGAGGGGGGGAAGCTATTGCCTCTTTCTCTGGATTATTTTGCAGGGAGAAGGGGCATGGGAAAAACTTCACCAAGCAAAGGCATTTGAGACTTGATCCTGAACCACTGAAGTCAAAGCCATTTTTGCAAAGTTTGTTGACTTCAGTGAAAAGACAAGGAGGACTTGTGGCACCTTAGAGACTAACCAATTTATTTGAGCGTCAGAATTCCTGAGCTACAGCTCACTTCATCGGATGAATTTCAGTGGTTCAGGATCAGGCAGCTCAGGCTTGTGGTTCTGCAGTAATTTTATTTTGTCCTGCACATGTTCTTCAGGTGTGCCTTCTAAACTAGCCAGTCTTCAGATCCATCCTGCAGGCTTCCTCTCCCTCCCCCCACAAGTGAATGTGCTGCAGAGAAACTCCTCAATCCTCCTCCCCCCATCAGATTTGTAGATTTTTTTTTTAATCCACTGATTGAAGAAGAGGAATGATCTCCCCAGTGTTTGTTTTTCATTTCTTCATTTTTTTAAGGAAAATGTAATAGCAACTTTGCCTTCTTCCCACTCCAAAATAAAATAAGGATTCTTAACCTTTAAAGCTAAGGCCCCCAAATTAAGATTTAGTTAATGCTTTTATACATGAATACAATTTTGTTTGTGCTTCAAAGATGTTTGGAAATGTATTTTTAAGTGGATTTTTTTTTTTGCACTAGGGTTGGGGGGAAGAAAGAAGGGGGAGGAGAGAACATAAGTTTTTTTTTTTAAGAGCGAAAATTAGGGAAAAGGTTTGAAAAATGAGGGGAAACAGTCTGCCAAAAGATATGAAAAGGAGTAAGAAGTGCAAGGTGGATCTACACAGGTTGCCTCCCTCTAAATCCAATCCTAGGAATGTTGATAATACCAACAAGTACAACAAATGAGCAAATCTGCTCTGCTTTGAACTCACCTCCCCACAATTCATATATTTAGATAACAGGTAGAGAGGAAAAAACCGCTAAGATATTATTGCATTAATTTGCCAGGGGGCTGAGTGCTTAACTGTTTGCAATTATAGATCTGTTTTTAAATCTGCAGTTTTCTGTTTTTAAATCTGCAGTAGGGACATACATGAGGAAAGCATGCCCCAAGGGGAAACTCTGGGTCTGAGTTAACTGCATTGGGAAAAGAGGGGGCTGTATGCACTAGCAGGGGATGTCTCCCCAGGCTTCCAAAATGTATACTCAAAAAGGACCTGATCCTGACCCTGAAGTCAAGGGGGGGAGGTACCATTGACTTATTAGTGGAAATAATGCAAGGCCTACTACCCATTGCTAAAGTGAGAAGGAAATTATGTAGTTACCCTTCCTTGAATAGTAACATATTTCCACTACTGCATAAGAGGTGCCTACAATTTGGCTATCCTTCTGCCAATCTGAGCAAGTCTGTTGCTGAGTGTTGGCCATTTAATGGCTTGTCTACCTCACCTTTATTTAATAATACATTACACATCAGAGGAAAGGGAATCAATAATTGTTTATCTCTTATTAATTATCTATCTTAGTTATCCATCCATGTAACTCATCTGCTGTTGATATAATATTGTGAACATACCTAGGTATGTATACATACAGCTCTGTATCTCTAGCAATGGATCATAGATCTCTGAATCATAGCGACCATACCCCTTACAGCTCAGACACACCGGGGGAGAACAGACTTTTGGGTATCCGTTTTTACAATTAAATTTTGCAAATGGTGTTTGTAAACTATCCAAATTGAGCTCTCATTTTTTTCACTCCCCCCCCATCCCCCTCGCCCTTCTATCCTCTCCTCCTCCTCCTCCTCCCCCCAATCCATAGCCACTCCCCTCCAATCAACTTACTTTTAACATGACAATGGCCTTGAAAATTCTCTCTAATCAAGGCAAAGTTAGGAAGGACATAAATCTACCCCCACGCTATAGGCATCTGTTTGTATGTTTGTCTGATAGAGTCTGCCCCTGTCCATCTCCACCTTGTCTTCTCTGAGATTAGGGTTTTATTTTGGGGTAAGGTCCCCCAAACACAAACATCCATGAGTGCCCACTTGGCAATGCCCCCCTACCAGCCTTACCCAGGCGGGGTAGGAACTGGAATAAAGTATGGAGACTACTACTGGAACTGCCCAGGGGAGATGGACAATGTCCCCCACAAAGAGGCAGCAGATGCTGATGTCCCGGTCCCAGAGCCAGAGGAGAAGACCCTCCGTAACCCAGGTAGGCCAACTTTGGAATGACTGAAGGAAACTCCAGGAAAAGTGGTTGTTGTTATTATTATTATCAGTCTTGCTGTCTGAAATGACTCAACGAGGGGCGGGTGTGGGAGAGCTCATCTCGACAGCTGTCCTCTAGCTTCACAGCCAAGTGACCTCCCCCTCTCCCCAAAAGACGCTGCTGCCTTGGGGGTTTTTTTTAAGGGAGGAAGAGGGAGTCCTAAACGCTGTCTGATCTGGGGGAAGAGCTGAGAGGGCATTTCATGGGGGCTTAAGCACCCACCCATGGGTGCAGTAAGCAGTCCTGTCCGGCAGCAAGTTGGTGTGGGAGGGCGGACGCCCCCCGGAACGGACCCAGAGCAGAACTAGAAGGAGGCTGGTCGCCAGAGCCCTTTGGGCACGTGGTGGGAAGGCTCTCGCTAAGGGCCTGATCCTGCCCTCCTGGACGCTAAGGCCATCACTGCCTTCATGGGGGGAAGCGAGACACGTCTAAAAATCCGAGTTAGCGGGGGGTTGCGGGAGGCCTGGGGTGTGAAGGGCTGGGAGGGAGCCGCTTTCCCATGGGGGTCTGGCCCGGGATGGGAAACCAGCTCCCGGGGCCCTCCATTTGCAGCACGGGCGGCCCTGCTGGGACCAAATCCAGCCATGCAAAGCGGGGGCGCGGTGACCCCCGCCTGTGGCTCACCAGGCGCGAGAGCCCCGTGGGGGAAGCAGGGAGAAGTAGCAATAACCCCCCCCCCCCGCCGCCCCCAAGGTGGGGGGACGGGGGTCGAGGTCTCCGGACGCGGGGAAGGCGCCAGGGCACCGCGGGTGACCCAGACCCGGGGGAGGCTCTAGCCATTGTCCTGGCTCCGCTTCCAGACCAAATCAGGCCTTGCTCCCTTGCTGGGAGGGGGCAAAAGGGCCCGAGCAGGGGTGCGATCTCTGCACAGGGCTCGGCTGCCAAGGCTTGGGGGGGGACAGGTAGCTCCGCGGGGGAGGCGCGGACGAGTCTGTGCCTGGCTCCTGTGGATTCCCTAGGCGCATGCAGACGCCCGGGGCGCCTCCGGATCCCCCCCCCCCCCCCGCGGACAACACCGGGGAGAAAAGAGCGAATTCAGGGTGTCCCCAGCCCCCAGGGAAACAATTGGCCACCCGGGAATCGCTGTGTACGGCGCCTTCTCCACGGCTGGCCTGCGTCTTGCTTCCCTGGCCTCATCCCTGGCGGTACTGCCGAGGGCACGTTCTTCCCCTGCCCTGCTCCGGCTCCAGCCCCCGCCTTTACTTCTCGTGTGAATGCCTAGCGGCTGGCGGCGTGTTTAATCCTAGAGCCCGCAGTGCCGGGACCCCCCGCCAGGTGTCAGCAGAGAGGGCGTCGGTTTTCCCGGCTCCTTCGCTCCCCGGTCGCTGCTGTTTGCGCGGCGTGTGGACACAGCTCGGCTGAGCCCCCCCGTTAAGTCGTGTGCCCCTTTGCCGTTAAATGCAGCCGGCCTGTTTCCCAAGCAGTGAGATTGGGCACCGTCCAGCAGCAAATCGTTATCCCTTAGGGATTAACTTCTCCTCCGCTCTCCCTTCATGGGCCACTTTCCTCTCTCCCTCCCTAGAGCTCTCTCCAGCGTCCTCCAGCTCGGGCGCACCCATGCGGTACACGCCGGACTCGGCCACCAGCCCCAACACGGAGCCCCCATCCCCGCACCCTGCGATCCGGATGGGTGGGGTGGAAAGCGGGGGAGGGGTGAAGAAGGCCAAGAGCCGCACGGCCTTCTCCCAGGAGCAGCTGCAAACCCTGCACCAGCGATTCCAGAGCCAGAAATACCTCAGCCCCCAGCAGATCCGGGAGCTGGGCTCAGCCCTGGGGCTCACATACAAGCAGGTGAACACTGAGATCTGGTTCTGTAGAGTGTTGGCATCCCAATGGCTGGGCTGCATCCCTGGGTTGAGGCGGTCTTCCAAACACGGTCGGTTTTTCAGTGGGAGATTTCCAAGGCAAGGTCAGATTCCTCACTGTCTCGCCTCTTCTGTTGTAATTTACATCTGTGCAAGGAGGCTGTGAAATGCTACCAGTGTCAGAATTCACCTCCTGCTCACCTGGGATTATTCATCCACTTTGCACAGGTGTTCAAGACTAAACAAGGGGCAGGCAATGAAGAGTCCGGTCCCTCTTGTTCTATAGGTAATATTCACTGTGCTCTTGGAGTCACTGCTGATCCCTTTGCCCCAGCATGAAGGCAGGGGGTGCTGTCAGCAGAGAAAGATATGGGCGATTTGGGTGTACTCTCTACTTGAGTCAGTACTGACACTAGTAGTATAGTATACAGACTAACACGGCTGCTACTCTGAAACCTAGTAGTATAGTGTCATCCTGCGGGGTGCTGTGTTGCAGAAAGTGGTGTGGGTGACTGATTTAGGACTGACCCATCTTTCATACCAAAATGCAGGTTCTCACTGTGATCATGAAATCACTGTGGTAATTTGCAGTAGAGGTGGCTGTCCCAGTGACTGTAATTATATTTTGCCTCCCTAAATGCTCCCATTTTCAGCTGGATAGAGTGGTGGTCTTCACTTCATAAATTATTGTTTATAATTGCTCTGGCCTGCCATGTTCCAGCCCAGAGGTGGCTGCATTTCAATGCTGGGTGAAGCAATCCCTCTATGTATTGTCTAAAAAATATTTTGTGAGCTCTGTCTAAAAGGGGATTTTTATGCCCTATCTCCTACCCCCATCACCTCTAGGTAAAAACATGGTTTCAAAACCAACGAATGAAGTTTAAACGATGTCAGAAGGAAACTCAGTGGATGGAAAAAGGGACATGCCTATCCCAAGTAAGAAGAGGTTTCATTATGGGCAGTTACCAAGGGGAGCTATAATATCTGTCTAATGTGTACGTGTTTGCTATCCAGTTAATATGGGATGCTCATGGGCTTAGTAACCAGCCCTTGCTCAGTGTTTCCAGTACAGCATTCATTCATTCTCTGTTTATTGTATCATGTAATTTAAGCTTACATTGGGGATTGAATGGATCTGGGGGAAGGAGAGCATGACTTTCTGCTCTAGGATCTCAGGTCGGGGGACTGGCTGGATCAGAGAATGGCATATGGACACCAGTTGCAATCCAGTGAATCCAGGAGGAGCAGGGGATCATAGAATATCAGGGTTGGAAGGGACCTCAGGAGGTCATCTAGTCCCACCCCCTGCTCAAAGCAGGACCAATCCCCAATTTTTGCCCCATATCCCTAAATGGCTCCCTCAAGGATTGAACTTACGATTCTGGGTTTAGCAGGCCAAAGCTCAAACCACTGAGCTATCCCCTCTAGGATATTGTTACTCCTCTTGTGGTAGCGCATAGATCCTAGGGCCCCATTGTGCACTGGCGATATATGTAACGAAAAGGTAGTCCCTTCCCCAAAAGTTTATAATCTCCTGGTTTGTGCTGCTGGAGCCTCAGTACTGTTTGTTTGCACCCGTGTATTGAACCGCCTTCTCTCTCTCTCTCTCTCTCTCTCTCAATGGATTTCATCAGGCAGGTTACCTGGATTTGAACCCCAGTTATCACCAGGGTTGTCCAGTTAGTGCCAGCAGGAACATCCAGACTGTGACCAATGTGCATCAGAGCTATGGTAGCAGCCAGACCTATGGGAGTGGCCAGAGCCTGTACCCCTTCGTGGCTATCGAGGAGGAGGGGTTCTTTGGGAAAGCTGGGGGAGCCTGCAGCACCCAGCAGGCAATGGGCTTCTTCAGCCAGCAAAAGATGAACTTTTATCATGGCTTCCCGGCGAACATGGATTATGCCAGCATGGAGACAGAAGATGGCTACCACTTCCAGAATGCCTCTGTCAATGCAACGTCCTTCCCGGGCACAGCTGGGTGCCAGCAGTACCAGCCAGTATGGCACCCTCAAGGGACGCAAAGCAACTATAACTCTTAGGCCTATCCTTTTCCTTTCCCCCTCCCACTCTTCCTTCAGTTTCTCTTATCTGGCCTCTCAGTTCTTTAGGGCCCTGATCCTGACTCCTGAAACGTGTGGAGTCCCCCAGCTCCCACTGACTCCAGTGGAGGGGCTTGGCACCTTGCAGGATGGTTGGGGTCTCTCTCTCCTTCTCTTCTTTAAGAGGCACCTGTCTGTGTCTGACTCAAGAGGTGTGCTGCATGGCTCTGAAGTTGGCTTTCCTCATATTGACCCTGGCTGGCTCCAGGAAGAGGCTCTGTATGTGTATGGAAAGCCATGTTCATGCAGGGAAGTTTGTGAATGTTGGAATTGGAGATGATAGAGTCTGCACCAGTGAGTCCTTTCCCTACCCTAGTGTCCCCAGTACAGCAGTATCCCCTCTGTAGACCCTTTCCCAGGCTTGGTCCAGTCCATGTTTGAAATTAACTGATTTCAAATACAACACAGAATACAAAGTGTACAGTGCTCACTTTATAATATTACTTTTAATTGCAAATATTTGCACTGTAAAAAAATAAACAAAACCCAAGCATGGGGTTTTCCCTGGGTAAGATTCTTCTACCCTTCAGCAGACCCCTCATTGTTAGAAAATGTTCCTGATTATGCAACCTGAAATTCCCCCCCCCCCCCCTTTGTGTGTTCCCTCCCTCCACCAGCCAACCTCCATAACATTTGAACATCTAATACATCCTTCAACAGGGAACACTCTCCAGCCCTGACCAGGGGCTAGATTTGGTCATCTAATCTTTAAAAAAATCTCAGATTTACTATGATTGTAAATAACTGCAATCCCTTTTTAATTAGGACCTGAATATCTACTAAACAGTGACAAGAGACTGCCCAGTCCTCAGTTGGTGCAAAGCAGCATAGCTTCATCGACATCACCATTTGCACCAGCTAAGCATCTGGACCACCACAGGGGTGAATGGAATTCAGATTCTAATTTCAATTCATTGTGTAATTAAGAGAAAGAGAGAAAGGAGATTGAGAAAGAGGAGTAGAGGAAGGAAAAGGGGAGGGATAGAAAGATGGAGAAAGTACAATGTAAGCAAATGTGGTGGATTAGGTTAATATCCTAATCCAAGAAAATTACCTGTAGTGTTTACAAAGTGGCTAACTGTGTCAGTCTGTTTAGGGTGTGCCCAAATTTCATTCTAACTGCTCTCCCTCCACATCTCCCCTGCTCTACTCTGCTGGCAGGCTCCCAGCCCGACATGACCCTGGCTATGGCATTGCAAGTCATCAGCACTGTGAGAGCAACTGATGTCCTCAGGTATCCATCTGATTCTCTTATAGTAGTAATAATAATATCTATACATGAAGGATCCCATAGCACTTCACAAATTACAACTACAGCACCCCTGGAATGAGGCCACTCTGCGGTGGAGGGTGGCAGCCAGGCAAAAATATTCTAGTTATTTCAAACCTGATGCTTAGATCACTTAACCTAGAAATTAGAGATGGTGGATGAGACCATTAGATCCCATTCTCCCAGGGCCAGTGCAGGACTGCTCCCTACTGTTTCTTCTCCAATTCTAGTTTTAAGTGACTCTGTTAATGGGGCTTCCCTCACTTTCCTTGGGGAGACATTGCCACAGGCTAATTAGATTACTTATCTATTTCTGTATTTAAAGTGGGAGGACTTTCTCCTGGACTCAATGTTTAAGCTTTGTGGGGAGGAGGGGGAAAGTGAGAGGTGGGAATTATAAAAACCAAACCCCAACTTGCTATAAATACAATTGTTTTAATAAATATCTTTTACATTTCAATAAAAACAGGTTTTAAAAAACTAAATTGTCCCCTGCAGTGCTGTGGAACTTAAGGTCATGTGCAACTTGTGGCTTGTGAAACTGACGCAAAAAAGGAAGTGAAACGGACTAGTTCCACTGTCCCAAGCCAAGTGCAAAAAAGTAAACAAACGACATCAGTGGTGAAAAATTAATGACATGTTAAAGATTTGTTTTGTTTGAATAGCAGGTGGTGTTGGTAGTAGTTTTTGTTGTTAATGTATGATTTTTATCTCAATGCTATCTTAACATCTGCACAAGGGCATTGTCCTACTTACATTTTTAATGCAAAGCAGATAATTGTTTGCTATCATGGATTGCTGGGTATATTTTTTTTCTTTTTTTTTATATGTTTTAAAAAAGACTTTTTACTTGCAATGCAATTTAACTGGTGTTTTGTTACGCTGCGTCTGTTTTATCACTTTTTTTGTTTCTACCTAATGTTTTTATAAACTCGTGTTTTACATTTGAATGGAAAAATAAACTGGATTTATTTTAATGGGGTGTCAATTCAGTGATGTAATAACTTCACTTTCATCCCAAAGGATGAAAAGAGCTTTATGGTGACAACTTCACCTACAGAGATGAGGAAAAAGCACTGAGTCTTGCCAACCCCAAGAGTTTAAATATCATGAGTTGGGGCTCCCAAAATCATGAGAATTTTCAAAAACCGTAAATGTTTGGGTGCTTTTTCTTTGCTGGCTTCCGAGCCTTTAGGTTGAATTCACTTCCTGTTTTCCAGCTTTTCTCTGCAACCATGAGGGCTAGAAACAAAACAAAGCTGGGTAATCTCTTGATACAAGAATGTTATGTTAATGGGACAAACAAAAATCAGATAAGAACATAACATCTTTCAGGAAGGTTGCAAAGTCACACTACTTTATTTCTTAAAATCCAGACTTTTAACACACACAACCCCAAAAAACAGACAAAGCAGCCCGTTCCCCAAAATGGGCATCATTCACCCCACCTTACTGTTGTCTGCAGGGTGCCGCTGAAAGTCCCAGCTCCTTCCTTACAGAAACCCCTTGCCTGCAAGCAGAACCAGGAAACCCTTTTTACAAATCAGTTATCGTTCTGAATATACCACAAAGAACTGGGAATAGTGCCCATTATTCACTTCAAGGTGAACGTGCTGATGCATTGCATGTGCTCCCCTGCTTTCCCATATCCCCCTGTGCTCTGCTCCCCAGTTCAGATGTGCACTGTGGTGGTATGAGCGGGGAGGTTCTGTGCTTTCAGTCTCTCTGGTTTCTCTCCTCTGGCTCAACTTCAGCCCTGCAGCATTACAGGAATTGTCCTGCTTGCTCTGTACCATCATCGTCTCTCTTCACCTGGATGTCTGCAGACGCAGAGGCCTTGTAGCTAGACTGTAAAGTGTGGGCTCTAGAAGTGGAATGTAGAATCAGTTGCTTGGCAACCTTCAAAAGAACTGCAATTTGTGTTTTCATTTCCCTAAGCAAATTGAATGCTGGTCCATTAAGGTACCAGATAGGTGACAACCCAGGAGAACTGAAATCCTGTTCCTCCTCAGATACAATACGAGCAGGGCAAGCTTCCCTCCTCCCCCATCCCCACGCCTTCACCCCTCACATGACTCACCCTGGGGATGAGAATGGAACTCAGTCTTCACCCTTGCCGAGTGCTATAAATAGCAAACAATAATAATGGGCTAATTATAACTAGGGCCTTGGTGATTTTTGTGGGTTAGCCATTAAGAGTTTTTAGCAGGGTTACATGCTTTGCCTTTCTCGCCAAAGATCTCAAAGCGCTTTGCAAATATGGATGAATTGCACCTCAGAATATATGTGTGGTAAATAAGCATCATTCTCTCCATTTCACCAAATGGGGAACTAAGGCATGGGAGGGGTGAAATGACAAAGGCCTGACCTGAAGTTAGGTTGGCTTAACTACCTCGCTCAGGGCTGTGGAAAAAATGTCATGCACTGTGTGATGTAGTTAAACCAGTTCAAGCCCCACTGTAGGCACTAGCTTGGTGGAAGAATTCTTCTGTTGACCTAGCTATCACCTCGCAGAGAGGTGGATTTATTATTGCACCAGAAGAACCCCTTCCATCACTGTAGTGTCTTTGCTCCAGTTGCAGCGCTGTAGCTGTAGCATTTCTAGTGTAGACAAACCCTTAACAGAGGTTGCACAGCAATTGTGCTCTGGAGCCCACAACAAAGCCTGAGCCCATAAAACTAGAGAGCAGTGTGAACTGGATTTTCTGAGGCAGCTACCTCAATTAAAAGACAATTGCTGGAAAACCTGGTCAGGTGGCAGCTCTTGCTTGGAGCCCCATCCCCAGCTGTGGAGTGGAGATGGCAGAGGATGTCAGGGTTTTTTTGTTTGTTTTTCAAAGGCGTTAACTCAATTGAGTTAGTTTAATTTGTAACCCATCTTCAAACATGTTAATCTGCATCTTAATGGAGCTTTTCAATCATGGTAGACTAATACAGTTAAGCAACACACCTTTTGCCCCTCAATAGTTCTCTTCTGGGGTAGTGCTAACAAGAACTCCCAGGCCAGTGGAGTTAACACCCCACTGAGATGAACAGGGCAGGTCATGCCTTTCAGAGCTATTGTTTTGGGTTTTTTAAATAAAGAGGCAAAAACCAACCCCTCCCTCCATGAAATGCTTATGTAAGTCACATGACCAGAAGCTAGTACTCTAGGTATGGAACCATGCTTCTTAAACTGGCCCCAGTGTCATCTAATATTGCTCAGAGCAGGCCAGCCCTGAAAATGGTACCAGCCACCAGTAGCATGGTTTCTAGTATTGCAAACTTCTGAACTGGTGTTAGCATTGGTGGGAAGCTCCTTACAGCACCACTGTAATACAAATCAGTACTAATGCAATGTTAGCCATGCTTTTCTATTTCTTACATGGTGGTTCTGTGTTTTCACATATTGCAGTGTCCTGCAGTTTGTCCAATGTGTTAAATAAAGAGAAATAGAAATATTTTATGGGAGAAGAAAAATCACCTTTTATTTTATTTGCAATATTAAAAGCACCTTGGATCTCTAGACTTCATCAACACTAGACAAGGCAAGGTTTAGTGTAAACAGCCTAAATAGGGTCATAGATTTAAAGGCCAGAAGGGACTAATATGATCAACTAATCTGTCCTCCTGCATACCACAGGCCAGAGAATTTCACCTAGTGATTCTTGTAGCAAGCCCATATGTTGTGATGGAGCCAGATCATATTTTTTTAGAAAGATACCCAGTTTCACTGTAGGGTAAATGTATGGGTACACCTACATGTGTGTGCATGGATGTGTGTATTTATTTTGTTAGTAACTGCATGAGAGTTTGGGTGGGTGTGAGTGAGCCCATGTGTCTGAATGTAAGATAGGGACAGAGTTGTGTAATTACCCTAAGTAGGAGACAGCGTGAGAGATGCAGGGAAAGGAAGAGATTCAGTAACAATTGCTTTGGGCTCTCTGCATTAACCCTGCTTAGGGGTGGTACAGATGGTGGCCAGCAGTGCCCGGAAACGGTGCCACAGTGGCTGAGGCATGGTGGAAGCTATAGCCATCTCCTGTCTTTGCGCCAGTGTATTCCATGGTCCCAGGGAAGCCATGATAAAAGTCTACTTTGTGCTGGGCAATGAATCCCACTGTCTGTTGGACGCTACAGGTGGCCCCACCTTTGCCGAAGACCCCCCCCTCCTCATTGGCTATGAATGCATATGGGTTCTGCCCTGCTGAGTAGTTCTGACGGGGGTTGCCCACAGCTTGGATGTTTCCAGCTGCGCTGATCGGATAGCTCTGGTGGAATTTGGGGTGCACTTCCAGGTACCCGCTGGGCTGGAACCCAGTCTGAAAGAGAGAACAGGAATCAAAACCAATTGCATCTCTATTGGCATTCACCGGGCTAAAATGTAGAAGGGCTATATCAATCCTTTTGCTTTCAGGCGTATCCATGGGACACGAGGAGGTGGGGAGGAACAAGAAAAAATGTACTTCATAGATCTGATATGAGGTGATATGGCAGATGTGAGGCCACTCTCACAACTGGGGCATGAGACCAGACTCACCACTGGCTTGATCCAGTAGAACAGGAGGAGAGCTACTAACAAAAGCTGGACCATTGCCCTGCTTGGCTGGGGGACACCAAACTATCTACCATTTTTGCCTTAGGGCAGGAGGCACGTCAGTGGGCTAAACAGACCAGAACAGCAGAAGGCAGGCAGGATGGATCTTCGGCATGACTGGGGATGGCAGAGGCAGGTTACCAAACTAGCTGGACCATGGTACTGATCCAGTACAGCAGGAAATGGGATAGCAGAGGGAATATACCACTGGGCTGTGGGAGAAGGCAGGACACTGGGCTTTCTGGACCAATGGTCTTGGTCCCCTTTGTGTGGAATGCCCTTACCTGAGTGAGGCACTGAGCCCGCTCCGACCACAAGTTGTGCTTCTGGCATCTCTTCAGCTTCATCCTTCGGTTCTGGAACCAGGTCTTAACCTGCAGTGAGGGGTCAGAAGGTTCCCGGGGGAATGGATAGTCAGGGGGGAATATGGAATGGGCTAAGACATTTTTCACCTCTGACTCACCAATTACAATGAGACTCTTGGGTAAGGGGTGGAGTGACTGGAGGGCTCAGGGAATCAGGGAGTGGAGTATAAAGCATCTGAGTGGTTGCTGGTTAAAGTCTGGCCCCAGTTCAACATCAGATGCCTGTTTAGTGGCCTATGCAAATTGTGTCAGTGGATCTCTGTCCCCAGCACCTACATTGTCCACCTTGTGCCCATCATTGTGACATTTAGGCGCATTACAGCTGTGACAAATGAATGAGTGTGGCCAAAAACTGGCACAAATCAAACTCAACATGGTCTCCACAGTCCCACCCATAGAATGGATTAAATCCCTCCTGATTACAGGCCAAAATTAAGGAAATGTGTGTTTGCGGGGGTGCAGGGAGGGCAGAAGGCCTGCCCGGCATCCTATCAGTCCTCAAAATCAAGATCCCTGACGGGGGCAGATTCCAAAGCGCACTCCCCCAGGGCTGTGTCTGCACTAATAGGGAGTGCTGCAAGGATGTTGATTGCAGCAAATAGCTGGTTGTCTCACTTGTCCTGTTTCTGACAAAACCGGTTTGGGGGGTGGGTAGGTGGGGTGTGTGTTTGTGTTTGTTATCCCAGTGCATCCTGGGATACCTGAGGCACCAAGCCCAGAGTGCCCAGCACTTTCATTAGGATAATCTCCATATACACTGCATTGTGGGATAGGGTTAGGAAGAATGGCTGAACCATAGCAGCTACAATGCTTGTGGCTTCTCATCCACTCTCGGGAGAGACCATTATACACGGCACCAGTTCAGCTGGACCTGGGCTATTGATTTCATCTCAGGCATTGCAGCGGTGGCACAAGTGATGCTCATAAATCTGCAGGGATGGCAGTTGTGTGGGGGGCTTGCCATACCTGCATGAGGCCTTGTGTCAAGCGCATTGCATGGGTGCGGGAAGACAGGTTGGTGGGAGGAGTTCAGCCCTGGGGAGAGCTCACAGCAGCATCCCAGCTTACTGCAGGTGCTGCATGGGGGCACTGGGAAGGGGCTGGGAAGGAAATTATTTGTGAACTAATCCATGCCAGGCCACTCAGCGCCTTATGGGGAAATTCACCAGTACCTGGAACTGCACCCAGCAGAGGACTGGGAACTGATGCAGAGCATAAAGTGCAGGGAACTATGGTGACCCACTTACTGCTCAACCACACCACAGACCATGGCGTCACGGCGCTGCCAACTCCTGGCATTCAAAAATCACGAATCAGGCCCTGAAAATCATGAGAGTTGTGATTTTTTAAGCCAGATTTGAACAAAAGGTCTCTCTCTTGCTCGCTCGCTTTGCCTCCTGATGTTGGAGCCTTCAGAGGGTCACATTTTCAAGCTTTCCCCTGAAACCAGGAGATCTAGAAACTTTTTTTTTTAAAAAAAAATGAAAGCTGAGCTTCTCATGTTTTCGTGACTCAAGGTCTTCAGGAAAATCAGCAACTACTGGCAGATTCACAGTAAAATCTCAGGAGTTGGCAACACCGGCAGTAGCTGGCCCCCTCATCGTGAGTCTCAACAGAGGTGCCAAGGACTGACTGGGTTTTAGCACATTCCATCCATGGATGTGTCATTATCCCCATTTTACACATGGGGAAACTGAAGCACAGAGAAGGGACGTGACTTGCTCAAGGTCACCCAGCAGGCCAATGGCAGAGCTGAAAAAGAACTCAGGTCTCTTTGAGTCTGAGTCCAGTGTTTTATCCACTAGGCAACACTGTCTTCCTGCTGAAATTTTCCCTCCAAGAAGGGTTTTTCTGGGGCAGGACTGAGGCACATTTGGGAGCGGGAGGGGGACAGTTATATGTGTGTGTATGGAGCTTGCTCTGTCACAGCCATGTCCTGTACTTGCTCTAAGGAAAAATATAGGACATAAATACTAATATTGTCATCTAGCACCTTTGCCACTGTTCCGTGCTTATCAACCCCCACCTTTATTCCACGACTCCTCTTGCAGTAAGTGACGTTCAGGTGCAGCCCAGCCATTACAAGGCAGACAACTCTATGCCCTCGCTATTCACCTGCTTGTAAGTGAGCCCCAGGACTGCAGCCAGTTCCCGGATCTGCTGGGGGCTGAGGTATTTCTGGCTCTGGAACCGCTGATGCAGGGTTTGCAGCTGCTCCTTGGAGAAGGCTGTACGGATCTTGGCCTTCTTCATCCCTCCCTCTCTTTCCTTCCCATTCTTCTGGGGCTTGGACGCAGGCTGGGGGGACGAGGATTCTGTCTTGGGGCTGGTGGCCGAATCTGGTGTGAAGTGGCTGAAATTCCCAGAGCTGGAGGAAGCAGGGGAGAGATCTAAAGACAAAGGGGATATATGCTGTAATGAACCCACATGTGTGTAAATACACACACACACACACGCAGAGCCCTCTGCTGGGTGAGATCAGAACTGCTTATCTGTGTGACATGGGCCATATACTGCTAGCAGCAAAGGAGATTCTCCTTTAGCGCAAGCTCTGAGGATCTGCGCCTTTGTAGCAAAAGAATCTGATATGTATCCGATGCCAGTGTGAAGTTGCAAGTGGCCAGATTAAGCCTCACGGTGACACCCTGGATGGGCAAAAAGAACGGGAATACTTGTGGCACCTTAGAGACTAACAAATTTATTTGAGCATAAGCTTTCGTGAGCTACAGTTGCATCTGATGAAGTGAGCTGTAGCTCATGAAAGCTTATGCTCAAATAAATTTGTTAGTCTCTAAGGTGCCACAAGTCCTCCTGTTCTTTTTGCGAAAACAGACTAACACGGCTGCTACTCTGAAACCTGGATGGACAGTTCATCCCTACATCTCCAAATCCTCTATAGCTTGTCCTTTTGCAGAGCACTTTGGGACCTAGGGATGAAAAGCGCTATAATTATATGTTAAGGTTGTCACTACACAGCCTAATCTGGCCACTAACTTGACACTGGCAGCCAGGATCGCTATCAAATCCTTTTGCTCCGACAGCACAGACGCTCAGCACTTGAGCTAAAGGAGAATCTGTTTGCTGTTAGTGGTACAGGGCCTCTGTCACATAGAGGAGCAGTTCTGCGCAGGACAAGCATAATTACACCCCTTTGACAGATGGACAAGCTGGGGTGCAGAGGTGAATCACTCGCCCATGGGCACACAGTGAATCTGTGCACTGGACTCTTGGGCTTAAGTCTGGTCATTTTTGAGGCTTGATTTGGGGTCCCCAGTCTGAGACACCTTAAAGGGGCCTGGTGCTCAAAGCCCAGGTGTGCTCAGCACTCTCTGAAAATCAGGCCCCTTTAAGAGGTCTCAGGTTGGGCACCCAAAAATTGGGGCACTCAGCATGACCAGTCACAAGTGAAAGTTTAGGCTTTGATCCCTTAGTCCTGTGCTCCAGCCACTGGACCAAACTGTCTCTCACCAGTAGTGTTACTTTCTGCTCCTTCTACCCAAGGATCTCAATGCACTTCACAAACACTGGCAAATTAACCCTCCCCATCCCACTGTTGGGAGGGAGGGAGGTAGGTATTATCACCACTGATGTAAAGTGACAACCAGAACAACCCAGTGAGTCAGAGTCAGGACAAAAACGCAGGTTGCCGGACTCACAGCCCACTGCTCTAACCACTAGGCTGCCGCTACCCTTTGCAAAGCACATGAGAACTAGAATAGAATATTGTGCTGATGAGAGTTTACAGGAGGAGAAAAGGCACAGACAGAGGACACAGAGACAGGTTGGGGAGCGCCACTCACTCCAGAGACAGTATTCAAGAGGATAGAGGAACCCGCAAAGACCCTTCCAGCTTGTCCTGGGAAATATCCTAAGGGGGTCTCTGCCTGAAGGACAAAGCCAAGATTGAGATCTAAAGAAAAAGCTTCCTAAGCAATCTGGGCTGTTAGTCCAGACAAAAGCCGCCAACATGCAAAGCCATTGAGGCAGCATGAATAGGAAAATGTTAACAAGTGAGATTACACAGATAGCTCTCCCCTAGGTGTCTGGCACGTGTGGATGCGGGCAGCAGTGGGGGCCAGGAAGGGTGTATTGGTTTGCAAGCCTGGCCAAATGCCCTTGGACAATTTCTTCCCTCTCCCTGACCCCCCCCAACTTCTCACCTGTCTGCCCATAGGAAGAGGGGAGAGTTAACATCCACTTGTGGGGAGGACAGTTTCAGGGCCAATAAGGGAATTACCCCCTTAGATCTTTAGAGACCATCCTAACCCATCCTTGGTCCCAAGCACCTGCCCCAAAGAGTCTGAATCAAGAGGTACTTTGGGAAATCCTAATGCTCCATCTCCCCCATGTAAGCTACTGATCTCTTGTGCAGGTCACTGGCTCCTCCCTGCTACCAATCCCTCCCCAGCTGAGAGGAAAAATGGTTGTGTGGTTACAAAAGACACTTGAAATTCAGTGGTGGGTTATATTCTGAGCAGAGCCCCAGGCTTGCGCTGTGTGACTTACATCTGGCACCTTGGGTAGTCATTTGCACCCATGTAAAACGCCACCAGCTGAGATGGAGGTTAAGGTTTTGCACAGGTGCAAATGGAGGTAATCACACCTACCCTCCTCGCAGGGGCGAGGGTACATTCATTGATGTCAGTGAAGTGCCCAGGGACTACAGGGAGCAGCGCCACAGAAAAGTCTAGAGATAATCGAACAGCTATAACATGCCCCAGCTAGCACTTTCTTTAGACCCCAGCCCTCTCCACGGCCAGCTCCAGCCCTGCCCAGCCATTGCCTTCCCCTGAGAATGCCAACCTACCTCGTCGTCCTTTCCCCAGACCCCCACCTCCACCAGCTATTCCAGCACGCCCCACTCACCGAGTGCTGATTCCCCTCCCCACAGACATGTGCTCTCCATGTTACCTCCCTCCCTTTCTTGACCCCCTCTGCTTCTGCTTGACTTGCCTCCTAACTGCCGCTTCCTGGCCCTAAGAACTGAGAGTGGGGAGCCTGGGTTGTGAGGGCCCCCAGGGGGGGAGGGGAGAGTGGGGCAGGTTCCTGGCTGTGGGGAGCTGGGTGGTGCAGGATAGGGAGAAGTTGTGGCTGCAAGGAGGCAGGCTGCATAAGGAATGCTGGTCTGGGGTGGGGAAGGAGTCGGTGCTCATGTGGGGGTGGGGGTGGGGAGAGCAGGGCAGGTTTACTACAGACCCATTGGGGAACTGGCCCATGTGAGACCTGCATACAAGGGTGGCTGGAGAGGGGCTGCAGGATGGTGAGTGGGGCTTGGGCTCTGCATGTCTGGGGGGGGATCTGTGAGTTTGCAGCAATGGTGAAGGTAGGTTAGGTGAGGAGGGTATTTCCAGGCGGCCAGTGGGACATGGGTGTGGGGTTAGAAGGGATTTCAGTCAGCTTGGAGAAAAGGCATAACTCCATTCAAAGAAAAGCTCCTAACTCCACACAGTAATAGACGCACCTCAGTACCTAGACTAGCATCTGCTATCCAACTCGCCTCCCAAGCCCTGACGGGGAACTAGCCAGTGACTGAAGGGTTAGGAGGACTAGGAGGAGGAACAGGAGAGTCAGCAAGAAGCATGAATGGCAGCTAAACAAACCCTCACACTAAAAACTGAGACAGGCCCAGGTCTTGACAGCTCTTCATCTCTGCAGACCTTTGAGTCCACATTCAAAGCTCTACATCCAAACCCTCCCCTGGGGTGGAGTGGGGGGAAACACCCAGCCTGCCTGATGTATTTGTGGCCCATGGAGCATAAAGAATCTAAGATTTCATTTAAAACAAAGGGTACGTCTCTAGTCCTTATGGTCAGGAAGTTAACCTACAAAATGAGAGCCCACTGTGTACTGATGTAACCCCTTGCCTGCAGATAGCCTGAAACAACAATGCTGATTTTTACAATGACTCAAGAGAGGTGTAATCCCCACCCCCAAATTCCCATTAATCTCACTGGGGCATTGACTCTAGAGTGTAAGGATAGCACTAGGCAAAGACCTGTCTGCATTAACTATTTCACTGATGAACATTTGAGCAGATGGGATGGGAAGGAGGTAGGAGTGAAGCCCATGGGGTGGGAATTGGAAGCTGCTGAATTGAAAGAAATGGAGAGAGAAGACAGGGGAAAACAGAAAGAGACAAGCAGAGAAAGGAAGACGGGGAAAGGAGAGAAACAGAGGGCAGAAGCAGTAATGGATCCTAACAGGATTCCCCATCCTCCCACTGTGATACTGAATGAGACTTGAACAAGTATAACAATGATAATTACACATTCAGTCACTGTGTAAAGGCTGTCATCTTTGCAATGCCCCCATTGCCAGCACAGGGAGCTGTGCTGTGGGTGATGGGTGTACAGAACACTAAATGCATGCTCCGGCCCATGGACCAAACATGGATTTTGCCTCTCTCCATAAATATGACAGCTCTGGTTTAAGTGAGGCCTGATCATCCCCTGCCCCCCTTGGCCATTCGCCTGCCAGGATAAGGTGTTACAGATAGACAAGGATACTTTGCCTTTACAGTGCTTATACCCGAGGATCAAAAAATGTTTTGCAAGTCTGAATGAATTAGGCTCATATCCACATTTTATAAAGGGGAAAGAGAGGCACAAAGAGTGGAAGTGATTTTCCCAAGGTCACTCACTGAGTCAATGACAGATCTAGGATTGGCACCCAGGTGTCCTGAATCTCAGTCCTATGACTTAACTTTGATGGCTTACCTGAGTTCTGGCTTTCCTCCACTGGAAACTGGGCATCACCAGCTGCTTCTGCTCCCCTTCCCGGGCATGATATAGCAGGTTCTGTACCCCCTGCTGAGTTCCAGTAAAACTCCCTGTAGCCCATGCCAGTCCCACTTGGGTAAGGCTGGTAAGGGGGCACAGCCAAGTGAGCACTCATGTGGGTTTGGTTTGAAGGGGTGCTCCCCCCTGGGTGCTCCCCACCCCCACCTCCCAGTAGACAGCACCTCACTCAAGGACTGAAGCTCACCACCCAGGATGAGGGTGCCCTAGAAAGTCTACCTTTATAGCTAGCAGTTCCCTTCTAAGGAGTACAATATCCTGCATCAGCCAGGTCTTCAGTGCACATTGTCATGTTAAAGAGGGTTGATTGGTGGGGAGGGGACGGTGTGAGAGAAGGAGGGGGTGGGGGAGGAAAGTGACACATGGTGGCATCAGGATTAAAAAATGTCTCCCTGAATTCCTGGCATTCTACAGTCCACCCTTGCATGGGTCCATAGCCCAGGGAAGTCAAGGTAAAGCCTCCTACTGACTCCACTGGGTTCTGGCTCAAGCCCTATGTGTGTAAAAATCATCCCAGAAAGGAGGCCATAGAGGAGAAATGCTCACAGCCCCAGCCAACCCTCCTCCCTACTTCCAAATCCATGGGCATTTGGTTCTGGAGGTGAACTTCACCCCTGGCCCACAGCTCTATAATGGGGCACACCGAAGCCCATTCCAAAGGGGTTTTGCAAGCAGAGGGCTTGATTCCCGGCTGTCCTGCAGTTTGTAGACACAATGACACCAGTGCAGGATAAAATGCTACCAAGGCAGAATCCCCCCACGAACACAAGGCAGAATGGTGGCCCTCAATACCCTCTGCGCTGGGGGAAGTGACAACGCAGGCGGCAGGACAACAGTGAATCAGGCCCAAGGGGCTGGAACCCATTGGGATGTTTTTTTCTTCTTTCAAATAAAATTTCCAATTTGATAGGAATTTGATGGGGCCAGCTGAGAAGTGCCAGGAAGGGGCCTAGCCCGTCTGCCAGTGCCAGGTGCTAAACTGAAGCCCTCAACTTAGGGGAAGTTCATGTCAGGCCCCAGATCCAATTTTGTAGAGCAGGCCGCTCTCCACATATGCTCTCCGCTCACATATGAATGAATGAGGCATTTTTTTGGTATCATTGTGCTGGGAGTTAGAGATACAACCTGTCGGGGAGAGGGGCAGGATGGGGAGCTGTAGGGGCAGGGAGGGGATCACTGGCTGTAGTAGTCACTTCTTCAGATTTCAGTGTAGCAGCCGTGTTAGTCTGTATTCGCAAAAAGAAAAGGAGGACTTGTGGCACCTTAGAGACTAACAAATTTGTTAGTCTCTAAGGTGCCACAAGTACTCCTTTTCTTTCTCCTTCAGAGACACTTCTGTGTAGTTAAGCATTTTCTTGGCTGCAGACTGTTGCTGGACTATTCAAGGTTGGATGAGGTGATCCAAGGACAGGGGCAGCTTGTGTCCTCTCTTATGGCCAGCCTCATGTAATGCATTGTGGCATTTCATTTACCAGTATATTGCACACCCAGAGGCTAAGGGAATGAGCATCTACAAAAGCAGTCATGAAATAATCACAGGCAAGAGAGTCCTGTAGTTCACCCACAGACCAGCACGTCAGGAGACCTTCTTCCTTTTCGTGGTTCTGCCAGTGATTTGCTCTGGGAGCTTGTTCAGGTCATTTCACCTCTCTGTTTTGGTCTTCCCCAGAGGTAGGAAGATATAATGCTACTAATCTAAGCCACAGGGGCATTGGGAAGCTGCCACTAATGTTTGTAAAGTGTATTCAGATCCTCTTGATCTTCTGAGGATCTCAAAGCATTTTACAAACATTAGTGAGTGAGTCAATCAAAGCATTGTCATGTTTCAAAGACGAGGACCCATAGATGGCTGGATGTCAGAAGCCCAAGGTTTTAATCACTGCTCTACCACTGACTTGCTGTGTGCCCTGGGGGTGAATCATTCGGCCTCAGTTTCCCCATCTATAAAATGGGGACAACGCTACTTCTTGTAATGTGCTGCAAGATCTCTCTATGAAAACCCCTCTGTAAGAGTAAAGCGCTATTATTGTCTGTGTGGGGTAACTGCTCATCAGGTCTCTGTGGGCTGCCTTCCCTTACCTCTCCTGTGCCACATGGATGTGGGGGATGGTGAGAGCTGGGGTGCCATCAGTACAAAGTTCATCTCTTCATCAGAGCTGGATGGTGCAGTTGCTCTGTTTTCCCAAAGTCTGGCTGAAACTGGGACATGGGTGAGAACACTTTGGCTGAGACCGCTCAGTCCAGACAAGTTAGGTACGATGCGGGAAGGTAGCAGCAACAATACCTGCCCCAGAGGGAGGGGGTTGGCCCACCATTTGTCAAGGAGGCTCCTGACTTCCCAGGTGGCACTGGAGATGAGAAGCACTTCTTTTAGGCCTTTCCTCTGTCATCCATCTTGCCACTGTCATCCAGGCCTTTGTCACCTCCAAAGCTGATTCTTACATGATGCTTGGAAGACCTCTTCCAAGCGACAGCTGGAGAAGAATACAAGTGCCTGCTTGTTTAGAGGCATTGATGGAAGAAAGCACATTATTCCAGTTCTCCACAGACTGCACTAGCTTCCTATGCAATTTGCAGTCTTTGCATCTTTAAGGTTTGGGTTCTGGCTCCCTGATGACAGCCCCAGCTCTCTGCCCAACTGCTTCCAAGACAATTGAGATCACCTGAGACACTAGAACTGACAATCCCTAGTGATCAAACTTTTCAAAGGGGCCAAGCATGGAAGTAAAGGGTGCTCAGTGCCTTTGAAAATGACGCCACGAATATCTGAGGCCTGACAGCTGGGATTTTCATTAAGTTTGGAATTTACATCCTCTACTGCTTCATTGCAGCCTGATTCTCATCCCCCAGGGCATAGTCTACAGGCCATCAGCTCCCCACGCCCTCTCAAGAGTAAAGTGCATGTAAAAAACTAATGACAAGTTTCAGAGTAGCAGGCGTGTTAGTCTGTATTCACGAAAAGAAAAGGAGGACTTGTGGCACCTTAGAGACTAACCACAAGTCCTCCTTTTCTTTTCGTAAAAAACTAATGGTTGGGTTGTCGTTTGTTTACTCTGACACTTATTAAATTGTACGTGTGGTTTGAAATGTTGTTCCGGTACAGTGTGTA